CTCTTCATCACGTGTTTAGTGGTTATTATATCAGTGAAGATCTACAGATGGAGACAGTCTCGAGTTTTGTGTCACTCCAATCTCCCTGTGATTCCGTATTATCCACCACGTTACTCAGACACTTTGGGGACAGGGACTCTCCAACACGTGTACAACTACGAGGTGTGCAGGACGACTGACTCCAGAAAGAGTGACTGTAAGTTCGGCAGAGCCGGTAGTCAGAACGTGCTGATAATGGACCCCAGTTCTACAGGAACGATGCAGCGGATACAGAGTGAGAAGAGCATCCTGGATGAACCAGACTCTCCTCTAGAGGTTGGCACATTTTAATAGTTATAATGTTTAATTGTAATGCAAATTGAAGTTGTGGTCCTGGTATTCAAGGCAGCTGCTTATCGTGGAAATCAGAAGATCACTATTTATAAATACCTTAGAATTTTAGGAATTGCCACAATATTCCTGGATGAACCAGACTCTCCTTTAGAGGTGCGTTATTTGATCCATCATTCTTTACACACATCGCCATGCTACAGTTACAATGATTTCTTAGACCACAGATATTTCTTGGTTTCATGACTTGTCTCACTGCCTGCTCAGAGGGCATGTTCAGCACCAATAGTGAAGGACAGCTACTCTCTGTGTTGAGTTACTGTTTTGAGAAAGAGTCAGTGAGGAAAATGCACACCCTAAAAGCCTATGCTGATGCATTTAGTTTTTTTGGGTCGGTTGTAACGAAAATGTCTGGACTTTTTGCTTCCAGCTCGTTTTTTTTTCTCTCTTTTATTTCGTTGTGAAGGGAAATAATGAAAATGAAATAGTACATTGTAAGTGTTTCCACGAATCAAGTCTTGTACCTGTATGCATTTTGGTCTCCCATTTTATCTCTTCTTGTCACTTAAAACCATTATAAGTTACATTTTGCTTATTTTCACTCTGAACTGATATTCAAATAGTTTTTCCCTGTCTTTTGTGACATCACTTGTTATTTCATGTCTGACTCTACGGGCCGCTGTTGGTCTTTAAAACACATGTGAAGTGTTTGAAATACAGCTACACCTCCAGTACTTATCTTAGTGTACCGGTGAGAGCAGCGCTTTCGGTCTTCATTTTTGCTCATGATTTTTATTATAGGCTTCTAATGAATACTTGTCACTCTGTGACAGACAAATGGATATTTAACTATTTCTATGATGTTTCAATTAATCCAAACATACCTTCGTAAATATTTTTGTTGTCATGTTTTTCAAATGTCTTTGTTGTGGTTGCCTCAGTGAGACTTCATGTAGTTTGGTCAGTTGACCAGAGAGGGACGCTCTTGACCATCGAGTTGCTCATGAAGCATTCGTTGCAGTACCTCCCCTATACCTTAACATATTACATAGAGACAGAGTTAACAGTCGGGACTGCCACGACATAAGCCTGGACGGCACAATGGGATTTCTTTGTTCCACAATTTAGGATAAATGCTTTCTTTGGGACCATATAACTGTATCTTTATGTCAAAATCGTGAACCTGGGGCGAAGAAACTGAGGATTTTCTAATTTTCTTCACTGAAGTGTCGACCGGAACGATGGGATGGCAAGTGCTGTTGTTTATCTCGCTGCTCTCTCTCAGTGTTGTGCACGGGCAAGTCAGCTACTTAATTCCTGAGGAAATGGCAAAGGGGGCTTTAATAGGCAATATAGCCAAGGATTTGGGTTTAGGTGTGGAAAGACTGAAGTCCGGTAAAGCTCGTATTTATACTGGTAACACTGAGGAATATATTGAGCTGAAGAGAGAAAGAGGAGTCCTCCTTATTAAAGGCAGAATTGACAGAGAAGCTCTATGCGGTCAAACAATGCCATGCGCACTCCATTTTCAAATGATCCTGGAAAATCCAATGGAGTTTTACACGGTTACTGTCGAAATTACCGACATAAATGACAACCCTCCGACGTTTGAAAAAAGTGAAATGAAATATGAAATTAGCGAATCAGCTGTTACTGGAGCTCGATTTGTCTTAGAGAAAGCAATAGATGATGATGTTGGTGTAAACGGTCTGGACAGCTACGCCCTGAAACCAAGCGATAATTTCGTTCTAAAAACCATCAGCCGAGGTGATGGAAGTAAACATATCGAGATGGTTTTACAGAAACCATTAGACCGAGAACAACATGAGCATATATCATTAATACTAACCGCTCTGGATGGTGGTGAACCACAGCTTACGGGGACGATGCAGATTGTCATAACTGTGATGGACGCAAATGACAACCCGCCCGTTTGTTCTAAACCGGAATACAAAGCAGGCGTTACAGAGAATGCTCCTGTTGGCACTGCAATAACCACTGTAAGGGCTACAGACATAGATAAAGGCAATAACGGAATAGTAACATACATGATTTCAAAATCTGGAGCAGCAGGTCTCTTTGAAATTGATGCAAACAATGGGTTATTGACTCTGATTGGAAATGTAGATTACGAAAAAAGGAGAATTTATGAGCTAGATGTTAAAGTGTCCGATCAGGGAGGATTATCAGACGCATGTAAGGTGATTGTGGACGTGACAGATATAAATGATAACCCTCCGACCATTAATATCATGTCTAACTCAAACACAGTATCTGAGAACATGAAACCGGGAACGGTTGTGACAATGCTTAATATACAAGATGCGGACTCGAATGATAACGGGAAAGTAATGTGTGTTTTAAACGAAAATATTCCTTTTGCCATTAAATCAACAACAAATAATTTCTTTACGGTTATGACAGACAGTGAATTAGACAGAGAGACAGCCTCGAAGTATATTATAACGGTGACCTGCTCTGATGAGGGAGTACCCTCCCTCTCCAGCAGCGTCACTCTCACCTTACAGATCTCTGATGTGAATGA